ATCGTTTTCTGAACGATTGAAATGGAAGAAAATCATGTGTGATTCACCTCCAGAATAGTAAGCATCAGTTTCACCATTGAAAAATATGCTCTCGTTTCCCAATTTTTCTTTCAATACAGTAATAGGTGTAAAATGCACTTCATTGGCAATATAATCATCAACATATTTTGCTTTTGCAACTATGTAATGGGTTATATTTGTTTCAAGTATAATTTTAATCATGATGCCTTGATCAGTTTTGAATGTGGAACATCGTGAGACTGGTTCCTCGACTCGATACTGACCAATCAATATCGGTTTTAAGCAACTCCAAATATCAATAGATTTACTGCCTTTCGAGCAAACGAGTAGAGCATTACCGAAGAGAAAGTCCACATACATCAAATTATCAATATTCAACTGTAGCATGAACTTCTGATAATGCATACATTCAAAGATGATAAGCGATTGTAGTGAATAAATACATACATATTCTGGATGAGTTTTAAGTGATGTGAATTCGTTTGATGGCAAGTCATATTCTTCAAATTTACCAGACCAACTTCCAGCACTCGTGCGAACAATAATAAACTTTCCTTGAAGAAGTATAAATAAACAGAATATGCTTTGACTTATGGCATGTACAACGCCAATGGTCTTTTTCATCAAACACCAATCCGAAGATTGCATTTCAGTTTTAATCATACGCAATGCACAATTATATTGACATTGATAAAGTAGATTGTAGATCAATTCTGGCAATACATCAGAAAAATAAACTAATCTAGATGAAATCTCAAAAGCAAAATTGTTCGGATATTTTTCAAGGATGCCAGAAACTATTTGATATTGTGTAAGTAGAAATCGAAGTTGGACAAATGAGCTTTTAGGTGATAATCGATCACTCATTTTGTAACATTGCAGATAACTGGACATGAATTCATAGTCGTAGAAAAAACAAGGTTCATCCAAATAGTTGTCAATATTTCTGCATAATTGATTGATTCGTCTGATATTGAATTTTCGACCTTGTCTTTTGTTATTCGTTATATAGGGCACCTGTTGTGTAAGATGTCGATTGACAGAAATCGAAGAAATTCCATGATTTTTTTCTATTAGTTTTCGAGACTTAATTTCAAATGGTTGAGTATGTAAATTAGGAAAACCCAGAATATTGCCGGCAAAGTAAGCACGTCGAACGAGTTCAATTGCTTTGGTTTCTTCATCATCTAATATTTTATATTCACGAAAACTACGATGATAACTACATGAGAAAATACGTGTAATCAAATCTTAATCAATCGTGATACACTCGGAGAAATTAGCATTTTCAATTTTCTACATTTTTCTTATTCGATCTAATCTCAAGCAATTTAAACTTCGCAACTGTTTTGTTCAATATTTAATAATCAATTACATCGAAAATCCCGAACTAATTATATTCATATTGAAACAAAGGATCTGAAAATCTATATAAATATTGTCAATTTTGTAAGCTTATCAACCTTTTTCTTGACGGAAAGAGTAAAGTCTGAACTACAAATATTTTATCAAACTTTTTTCCAGAATGAATCTACAAAGCAGGGGAAGTCAAAAATCAATTAAGTTGTGGGATTTTTAAAACAGTACAGCTGTTGCTAGATGACATTGTATAGCTTAGTCTTTATCTTAAAGAAGCAAGAGCAAATCTTAAAAAAAATTGTCAAAGCTGACTTCATTAGAACTTTTGATGTGCTACATTTTACTGTAGTTTTTTTAGAATTCGGTCTATGAAGTTCAAGACAATTCATGTTTGGTATTTGGCTTCTCTTGCCCCGTAGATTCGTTCAGGAATAACAAGTCTGGCTTAAAAAAATTGTAGTTCAGAGTTTGCTCTTTCCAACACTACAGAATTTGATAGGATTAGAAGTTAGCAATAGGGTCTAACATAGTTCGGCATTTATCTAAAGACTATACGTCGCATATGTTATAAAGATGAACAAATGCCAAAAAATTAAAGTCATGTACTCCTGTCATTGTCGAATTAATAATTGTTATTTATCGAAAATTATCTCAGTTGTTGGATTCGCCTTTGTCAAAAAAAGAAACGTATTCACATTTCTTGAACTATACGTAAGTACTTAATGTTTGATGCAATCGTTAGGAATTCTAATCAAATAGGCAAATGAATACTTTAGATTGAAACTTGCTATATAGAATGTACTCACAAATAGATAACAGAGGCATTATCAACATCTTTTTCCACGAAGTATTTTTGCATTTCGTTGCGGATACGAATCCATAGAGTACTCGGTATTCGAAAGATGTTTACTGGTGGAAGATAGTGGACAAATATAGCTTGAAGAACTCTATTATCCGCACTCAACATATCTTCGAGTTCGATCTCAGTGAGACCACCTCCTTGTTGAAGATAAGCCATCGCTCGTTTAAAAAACACTTCGTTGTGCTTCTTCGATAATTGAGAATACAAATAGTCTATGGCATCATTCGTTGTTTTTATATTTAAGAAAGCTTCGTCGGAATTTTCATCATAAGAATGCCATGTAAGCGTCATATCGTATATCAAGGATAGAAACAATGGGGTAGGTTCCGATTCCGTAGTAAACAATCCAGTGTAAACAGTACGAGACTGAAGTTTTGGCTGTAACCAATTCATTTGAAGTGAAGTAAGACATCGATGATCACGTTTTAACCATGACTGAAATACATTTTCAGCCAAATCTTCGTCGAATACGGCTATCTCAATCATTGGAGCATCGCTGAGTAGTGATTTTAATCCATGAAGAATTTCATACTTTTCTGGAGGATCTTTTTTTTCATCAGAAATCATTGGTATAGTAGATAATATACACTTGATATTCTGTGGATAGTTGATCGGCAACCATTTTGAGCAGTCGTAGTCTTCAATTTGTAGTTGATCGATAGAATCAAAGAGAAGAACAAGTGTTTCATTTGTCGGAATTCGAGTCAAAATTCTTTCAAATATTTTCTTTAATTCTTCAGTTTTTGTTGATTCACTGATAGAAGAAAGTTCAATATCATAGATAGCACAGATCTGTTTCATCATTGAGATTAGCGGTTGACGAATGTCACTTGATAACGGTGTTGTACCAAGAAAACGTAATATGATGGAGACGGAGTTCGTCTTTGAAAACCATGTCGATGCCTTCAAAGTAAACTAGATGCAAGATCTTATTAATGAAATACTGAAATCACCTTGATTGCCACTTCAGCGATAATAGAAGATTTTCCCGTGCCCGATTCACCATATATTATGCATGGTCGGGATTCATTCGATAATAAAAAAGTTTTGATCTATAGAATATGACAATGAGATCTATTCTATGAATTATCACTATTCACCTGTGAAAGTATGTTATCACGTGGAAAATATCGTTCACTAAGCATTCTGCACTGAATTGCATGTTCCAAAACTTCGTCGTACAAAATATCTTTTGGTTGGCTTTGCTTCATGTGATAATCGATTTGATTTTTTATAGCAGTGTAGAAGTCTTCTTTAAAATCAGCCAGATATTTCATTTTGCTTGATTCATCTGTCCATTTAACCTGAAAAAGAATGTGATCTATCTCATTAGTTCGATAGCTTCTTTGAACAAACCCGATATGTAAATATATTATTCGAACCAAGTTCCGTTTCGATAAAAGTCTTCAAATCTGTTAGTAGTGATTCACTATTTTCATCATTTGTATCGCTAAACTTCACTTTGAGTTTCGAGTCAAAATGATCTATATCTTCTATTTCACGAAAGAAAACAACTATGCGTTGCAGTTGATTTTTATTGTTGTTCAATGCTCGATAAATTTCTTTTGCTGTTACTAAACATTTTGACATGCATATCGAACGAAGAACTTTGATTGACTCACCTGATATGTGAAATTCATTTCTCTCATATTCGCTTAACGTTTTGTTTTCTCTATAGCAAATATCAGAGGCTTGACGCAAGATCTTTTGAAGTTTCTTATTTGTTGCATTCCATTCATTCTTTCTTTTTGAATCGATGGGCTGGAGAACATAGACAGGATCAAGTAAATTTTCGTCCAATCGATACGCTTGATTGACAAGAAGACTTTCTTCTGAAGACAAAACGCTTTCTAGTGTTTGAAAAACGTTTTTTGCAATGCGTGCAGGTAACATACAACTTCCATATCGATGACTTAACAAAATCTAAAAGGAATCTAATCACTTTTTGAATTTTGGTCGTTAATCAATTTGAAAGAACTCACAGCACAATTAGTCGCTAGAGAGCGACGATAACACTGCTGCAACTCTTGTAAACACGTATCCACAGTTGAATGATCATTCGACGCTTCATCTTGAACACCCCAACGCATGTCGGAATACTGAAAACATTTGCATCAATAAACAGTACAAGTGGTTACATTATACTAAACCTGAAACTGAATGTTATATATCTTTTGGCAATGTTCTCGGAGCTTCGGATAAACCGATAAAATGAGTGCATCGCGTTCTTCGACTGTATCTTTAAGTGAAAATACACATGATTTAGTCATTAGTTGATCAAAAGAGAATTTACCTGTAAAAGTAGAACTGATGAAGACTCGTACTGAATTAGATTTATGATCGGGAACATCGGCAGGACGACCACGAAACAATTGCTTATTCATAATCACCTGTTTTGACTCATTTAAATTGTGTGAAATAGTCCCATCATCATTTGACATTGTTATTCTCTTATTGAAAAAAATTGTTGAAGGTCAATAATATTACTATCTGAAACAAAGACAATTCAGTCAATGATAACTATTACTCGACGCATTCGTAAAAAATAATATCTATTGCATTTGAGAATGAGAATAAACAAACGTGAACTATAGTGATATGAATAAAATGGATCACTGAGTAATTCTCTAAGCATTCTATTCATGAGACCAACATTTAGAGACGTGCAGGTTTTAGTATAGCAATGGAAAAATCTTAATAATCGATCCAATGCAAATCATGCAAGTCAAACATGTTTTTGAATTTTGACTCAACGAATTTCACAACACTTGCAGCTCATCATAGATTCTATTTGAATAAATAGATCGATCTTTTGGCTGATGTTACGTTTTGGTATGAATTCTTATGAATTGAATGGAAGACAGATCACAACAGAATGATAGACTTTTGATTATACACTGCTTTCATTTTCTATCTGGTCGAAGTCGAGGCAATACTCTCAGAAAAAAATGACGTAAAATAGTCGTACGTTTGTTTTATCAATCCCTGTACGAAATTCGATTGTTACAACATCCGTTCGTCAATCTATAGATTAGATGAGTTATCTAACGAGCGAATCCTGTTAGGTATTGATTTATTTTCGAACTGAGACTATGTGCATTATAGAACTTCTTATGAGCTCTCAAAATCTTGCAAAAAAAGTTGGTGCTCATCGTTTATCTTTTGCAGGAATATTTTCTTTTTACAGAAATTTTTAGCATAATGTTCTAGTTCGTCTCAGAATGACTTAAGAGCTCAGCTTTTTAATTCCGATATGTCACTTTGCGCAGAGAAATATTTCAATCAGTCTAATTGGTTTACTTTGGATGGTCTCAAGTGTTTTAGTCCTTTGTTTTCTAAAAAAAGAAGCTGTTCATTATGAAGATTAAGTATTCTGTACTGTAGTTTCTATTAAAATGATATCATTTCGTACACTCATATTCACAAATAAAAGCTGCTGAGAAATTCGAATTCTTCGGAATAAACTATTCTCATTAAGACTTTTTCTCTGGAAAGCTTCATGTCGGAATTCGAAAGTCTATTCTCTGAGTCATTCTTATAGAAGCATAACTTTGTACTAAAAATGCAGTAAAAATATGATACATTTGCGGAAAAATAAACAAGGAACACGAACTATTTTCAGAATATTGAAAGCTGATATGAATCATGCAATCCGCTACGAAAAGACTCAATTCAAAAAATTTGCAGAAACAGTTTGTTGAGATACAGCATAAAAATAAAAATATGTGTAAGTTCCGTAATAAAATACTGTGAAGAAGTAATTGCAAGTAGATGAAGTTTTTTTCCAGATTTCAGAATTTATATGCTATTCGATGTTCAATGTGTGTTCTTCCAACAGTAAGGAAAAAGAAGTGTTAATCTAATCGTTATCAGATTTTATGTAAAGAATCAAACTGCGCACAAGATGACAAATGTTTAGTTTGGTTTTCGGTTCGAAAAATCGAAATGACTCTAGTCTATCAGTCGAGTTGTAGATAAAATCGAGAGGAAAAATTTGACTAACATGTTATTGAAACTGAACCATATAAAAAAACGTATCGTTACCTTGAAGACATTTACTTGTAAAATGGCAGCTCTTTTTCTGTCACATGTTTATTGATGAAAATTCGTCGTTCTCACTCTCGTTGTCATTGCATAGTATACAAAAGAAAAAATTTCTTATGGCAAAACAAACAAGAGAAAAGCGACAGTGCAACGATTACCATCTTTAGCTGTTTAATCGTCAACAGGACCAATATTAAAATACTCGACAAACTTATAGAAGGACATTATCAATGTTCACAACAAACAGCCATAAATAAAACATGTGTCTAAATGAATTTTATTACCTCGACTCAAAGGAGGGTCATATGAAATAAAAATGAGTTTGTTTGTATGTTTGCATGCACGTGTCTAGTCACGTGTCCGCATGTACTGGGTTAATTTATAGAGTCTGGTCAAAGATAATTCGGATCGACAAATCCAAATCTGGCATCGCTTTCTAGAAAACTTTGAGTTTGATTTTTGTCTTCGAGCAGGTTCTTATAGGAAAATAAAAGATTCTCTCCCAACAGAAAAGAGGAACATACCGAAAAGCTGATATGACTTTGTATGTATGCGTGTAAGTATGTTTGTTTCTAGTGAGAATGCAGTCACGTACGTCTATATATTTCTGAAACATCGGATCAAGTATAGAAAATGATACTGTTTTTAGTCGTACTGCCAACAAATCAAATTTTCTCTTATTTTAGCTGTCATCTAATCAGCCATTCGGTTGCTCGAATTTCTGCCAAATGAAGGGTGTAGGTGTCGATCTACTTTGAAACTCTCTCCACACCCATACCCAGAACTCGCCAAAAGGATTCTTTGAATACAATTAAATGGATCTAATATGTGAGCAAATTAGCCTCACGTTGAAAAAACCTGCACTTGCTGCCGGAATCCATCGTCACATAGTTTTTGTTGATACTCATCAAAATAATTGAAATAACGATCGATCACTTTGACAGTCAGACTGTCACAGAAATGTGGTATATACATTTGTAGTAGTGGAACATTGTCTCAATTCCAGATGTTAATCACGAGATGTTCCAATTGTGGGAAAAAGCTACATGATCTTGTGTCAAGAGACTTGTTCAAAAGCATACCAAAATTAAACAACCTTAATTCTTTACGGTAAAGAAACGAAATCAACAAGAGACTATTGTTAAGATATTGATGAATCATCTTCATTTCAAGAAGATTATATCGAGCAGCACGATAAGCATGATCAGTAAGTATTTTATTAGAGTGAGGGTGAAGATGCGAGGGCAGTAAAGCGATACAAGGCATAGCATCTGAGTGCATGGATGTAAAGGTCAATGCTCTGAGGCATACGCTGGGCGTAGTATGCGGCTGAGGATGGCTGCAAAATGTCATCTTGGCTTATCATGTTTTATAGCATCTGAGTATTGAAGTAGAAAGAAGCAGCGGTTTTCTGTTCATTTGATTGGTAGATTCGCCGAGCTTGGCTTATTCTTGTCTTCACCGAAATCGATCAAAATATAAGGCATGTCGGATAAACTTTTAGTTATGGTTCAGATTTTCTTTAGCTGTGTCGATTGAAGTGCCTGTGATTTTTTTGAAAATTTGAGACGAGAGTAGGTGACAGTGAAGATGAACAGAAGATACCAACCTTCATCACCGTCACTCTCACCTTTACCAATGGCATAAAATAAACACATTAAGTTACTATTCGTCCACTAAAAGAATGAATAGTTCTTTGACGTCAGAACTCCAAGTTTTCAATAACAATGACTCTTTTCACAGGAGTAAATTTCTGAGGTCGATAGCGATCAGATCTCACACTTCTTTATCATACGTATCTCATGAATATCCAAGATAGTGCTAGACATCTCAACTGGGATCCTATAAGCAGTTCTTTGACGTCATTGGTTTAGAAATTTTTTGAAGGTGAGAGTGACAACAAATTCATCAATCCCACTCCCAGTCTGGAGATACAAGGATCTCAGTATGGTGAAATGTGATATTTTGAGAATCAATCTTGGACAATGAAACGATATCTTGTACAGATAAAAACTTTCTAAATGGCACCAACTCATTTGCATGTTCCAAAAACGACTTTGAATATTCATTCCGAAGAACTTGGTTTAATTGTGACTTTCTGAAGTTTTCGCTTTGTTTCTTCTAAATTGTGGTGATACATTGATAAATACGATCGTTCAAAGGAAGATAATTGTAATGCCATTTCGTAAGCCTTTGTGAATTTTTCTAAAGCTTTTTCGTAGTTTCCTTGATTGAAATATACTGCACCACAATTATTATACGTATGAGCAACATGAAAACTTTTTGATTCCGACATAGGTGTAGAACTTAATGCATTTTCAAACATGTCGATGGCTAAATCATCCTTTCCTAGATGAGAATAACTTGATGCTAAATTACTGTAGCCTATAATCAGATCCGGATGACCTTTTGGCAATATTTTTTTATTGATTTCCAATGCTTTTTCAAGATATTTTATTGCTGTTGACCAATTCGACCTATTATAATATAAGCCACCAATTTTTGAAAGAACTGTTGCTGTTTGTGAATGATTTTCTGGTAATGATTGATTGCATATTTCGAGTGATTTCTCATAGAAAATCAAAGCTTTCTCATCATCACCAATCTGTTCCAAACAATGACCAATATTATAAAATAACATTACATAGCTGGAATGAACGATCGGTAAACACTTTTGCTTGAATTCAAGCGCTTTATTCAGATAACAAAGAGCGCGTTCATGATTGCCGATCTTGATGAACAATACGCCAAGATTATTAATGATGTCAGTAATGCACTCAAGCGTTTTTGGATGATTATCGATCTGAAGTCGCTGAAAAAGAATTCGAAGCGCTGTTTCATAGTAATCTACCGCTTTTTTCGTTTGACCCATATGAGCATAAATACCAGCAATATTATTATACGACATGGCAGTATGTGGATGAATTTCGGATAAAATTTTTTTATTTATATTCATTGATTTTTCATAAGCATTTAATGCTTCTTCATACTTTGATTCATCCTTGGCCATTGCACCGAGGTTATTGTAAATAGATGAAACTTCAACACTATCCTCTACCGAACTTTCTAGTATAAGATTATAATAACGTTTTGCTTTTTCCATTTCTCCCATATCTTGTAAAATTCTTCCTAAGACCACCACCGTTTCTTTTTCTCTCAGGATCATTTTTTGATAATCAATAAGTTCAATTAATCGTTTATCTTCTTGTTCCGTAAATATGAGTTTTACAATCCATACATTATTTTCAATATCAACAGAGACAATTCGAAATATTGTGCCCATCGATAGAAGAATTTCATTTTCATCCTTCATATAACTATGTTTGCTAACATCAGCAAATGGTTTGGATTTATGACAGCGAGTTGTATCAATAGTCATTTCAAATAGAACAGAACGCTCATATACTGGCCTATTTGTACCATCACCAGCAAATATGGAAGCCACTTCTTTATCAGTGGTTGTCGATAAAAATGTATTCATCGATATTAACTGACCAATATTTTCTTTCAAATATTCTAATTCGATTAAACCTAGACTTTGACCACGATAGACAGTTAAACTTGATGGAAAACGTTGTGCGGTATATAAAGTGAGTAGCTGTTGATAGAGGTCGACAATAAAAAAGCGAAATTTAAATATATTATCAATATCTTCTGTTCGAAATGCTTGATTCAATAGACGAAAAAGAAAACAATTTCGTGTATACCAGAAAACAGCTTTGGTCGATTCGTAACATGTATCAAATTCGTTGATTTTTTCTTGTTCACTTTCGTTTCCTTCATAGCACTTTCGAGTGATTGCTATCAAATCAGATTTGGCACTTTCAGTTGATGATGGTATTCGTATTAGTACATCAATCAATAATTGATACCAAATAAATAAGGCATTTCCACTCGTCGTTAAATTACGTATTGATTTTTCTTGGTTATTCGAAAATATTGATAGAGATAATGAATTGTTTTGACTGCTATTGATTAACTCATCAATAGTTATTAGATCGTTGTGATTATACGAAAAATATAGTTTGCCAACGTCTTGAATATGAATACTACTTCCATGGGCATAGATCTTTTTAATTTGCTCCAATTCGTAAATTAGAGGAATAAGATAATCAACGAAGACGCCTGATATAATTAAATAAAACTTATCTTCGAGTCTCGATGTTATATAATCTATACATTTATCAGCATTATCAAAAAGTTTCCAAGCTTTCGTCAAATATCGATTTCTCGTCGTCCATTCATTTGCATAATGAAAAATATTGAGATCAAGCCATATGGTAATCAACTTGCTCTCCATTCAATCAAAAGGTACGCAGACAAACCGTTTCTTTCAAAAAAACAGAACGTAAATGACTTTTTGCGCATTTTATAACAGAACAAAGTAAAAATAAAAACACAAATGTATAGTTGAAAAGAAAAATATTCAAAGCATGACCACGTTTTCTCCACTGCTACTATAGTTACCGAAATAAACAGTCTCGATCTTTCGAGCAAACAATTATAACTGGAATGATAAAATAGTGAATCAACCATAAAAGTATAAAGATTGTGCATTGCTACTTTTCTTTATTCTAACAATCTCGAGACTGATGAATCTTGTTGAATTTCAAATCCTAATCCAAATATTTGCACTCCGTGCATATTTAATTTCGGTGATTTACTCTCATTGAACGAACGAAAATATCTGTATCATCCTGATGAGAATATGACGATGAGGAAAGAGTGTAGATGTAGATGTAGGTTTGGGTGTAGGGGTCGGTGGCTGTGCATATGCAATTGAAGAAAAGCTACACCCACATTCACCCACCCACATCCTAAATTGCAATAGTATCAAAAGAAAGATGAGTATATAAGCAAGTTTTTGTAAAAGTTTCGTCGAGGTAAAATTTTTTATTATTGAGATAATGTCATTTCAAGTTTTCATATCTATATATACTATAGGTTGTTAGTGACCGTATTGCAGTTTTTATTCGATCGCTAAAAAGTTTTAAAAAACGATGATTAAGGCAATTAGAATGTTTGTAAGACTGCTTCTAAATATGAAATCAGAATTTCAAAACCATCTTCCGTAGCAGAGAAAAGTTAGGTTCAGGGCCCCAATTGACTCTTGCCATCTAATCATAGAGATATTTACTTATCTATGTAAGTAAAAGTCTGTGGGAAAAAATAATATTTCTAAATGTGTAATTGAATCCAAGCTACAAAATTATGACATAAAAATGACACCTTAGGTGAGTGGCAGATTTGTCACCTTAACGTGCGAGGTCCTTTGGTCTGTTTATAAAATGAGTGTTTCTGGAGTTATTATAAACAGTTCTTTTGTATAACCGTATGCGAGTCGCGATGACGAACATTATTTATCAAGTATAGAAGCATCTGATGTCATAGATTCGTCTTCTGTCACAAGCGATGCGCCCACTGATGTCATAGCTAGCATCGATCCTGTTTTCTACTATACTGTCAGGCTAAAAAAAACAAAATGATAAGGATCTACTCTTGGAAATACATTCTTCCAAAATACCTCTCTATAAATTCTGGGTCACTCATACGTTTCTTTTCTCTTTACCACTGATTAATGATTTCAAAAAAAAAAAAGAAAATACAAGCTTTCACTTCTATGAATATGCGATGATAATTAGTCCTAAAAGTAAACGATGGAGATTTGTTTGTCTTAAACCATTCTCTGACCATGAATTTTCAGTAAACTATTTCAATGGCCTGAGAATGAATGGTAAACAAAAAAAACCATGTGTAGTATCATTTATCATATGAAGTGAACACAAACCAATGTCTTGATATTAATTTATTTCAGAATAATGCAACTCGAAAGAACGAAATGAAAGTTATGTTATACTAGCATAAACTATGAAGACTAGCATCGAAGAGAAAATTTGCTCATCACTTCTATTTATACGAGAAGCATTACCCATCGTTACTTTTCATTTGAAGCACAAGATCAATCAATTGTACATCTTTCACCAAGTCACGATGAAATACTGCATCGTAGATAAAACTATCAAGCAGGACTTCGTTTGGCGACTCGCATTAGCATTTTTTTCTATCAGTGGGAAGTATGAAGACTTGCTGTGAAAGCTAAGTCTAATTCAATGAATAGGTATTTTTCTGTCTTTATTTCTCTTTCGAACTTCGATTTTTTGGCTATGCAGCCAATTGTAAATAGATATTGAACTGGTTTGCGTATACGTATTAGTTTCACGACTTAAATAATCAATACAAACAGCTCATTTATGACGTGTGATTTAGTGTCCAATATTACATAAGTCGCGAAAATTTGCCTACATTTATTATTTTCTATATCACTTAGGATACGCATATTAAATACCATTATTTTCCAAAAAAAATAATATCGATGTATTCGGAAGTATTTCGTGTTAGGTGTGTCTGAATCAATTTAGCAGCAAGAAACAAACGGATCCGCATATTTTCTCAACCATTTTAACGAAAATTGTCAACACATGGGAGTTGAGAATCATATGCTTTTCGCGTTTCAATGATGATAACAACCTCAGTTTTGCTGTTCTCAAATGTTCCAAAAATATATGTTAATCAACGCATTAATCTGCTGATACCAACTATAACATCATGATCGCCTCCATTCATTCACATAAACTCGTGATAATTCAACATTTCTTTGTAAGTAAAATTATAGAATAGGATGAAGTGTATGTATTCAGCAATGTTTTCTCGTCAACGATAGTTTTTCGCTAACCACCTGTCCATGGATTTTCACTTATTGACGCTTTTCTATTTCCATCTTCGCTTTTTCCATCAAGAAAAAGTTGCTGACTACAAACTAAAGAGAAAAACTTCATTCTATCTTATGATTATTTGAGAAAAATAAAGCATTCTAGAAAACATAAAATTTTTTTTGGTTCAATTTGTCACAGAATCATTTCCATTCATGTTTCATCTGAGATGTCTGTGAGACAATGTTCAAACTGAAAAAATCGTTTTATTGATCAAACAAATTAAATACAATTCTAGATGATTTGTTGTTCTGTGCTACACTGTAATGGAACTTAAAAGACGAACTGTTTAAACTTTAAGTTCTTATGTAACAGATTGCTGTAGCACAGCGACACTAAATGAAAAGAACGACAAAGCCAATGATATCTATTTCAAAGGATAATTCTTGAAAAACTGCTGAAGCTATATATTATCAAACTATCATCGTTTGATGTTTTTGATTTAATTCATGTGAAATTTGAACTACAGAATTTGCTTCGAGCGAAGTCTTTTGAGAAGAATATTTTGAATCTAAGAATAATTGTGAGCGAAAATCCATTCTACCGATTTCTAGAATAGCTTGCAACTAGAGGTTTTTCAATATGAGCAATATTGGACGGGACCCCTAGGGTTTCGGAATAGTGGAGTCCTAGATCATGGGTCAGGAGATACGCGTACTACATCAATCATATCCACTCACGATCGTCAAGTATAGAACACTCATGCTTGACAATACTTCGGTCATGGTTTGTTGTTTGAAACAACAATCGAATACAGTCAAGGGTATTAGTTATGATTTCACCATATTAAAAAAAAATGTGCCAACAAAGCAACAAAGATATTTTTCTTTAGGAAATGATATTCACCGCTCTGTCTTTATGACGTATGTTAAATAAATAATATTCTTCTTGAGCCTTTATGAACTAGTCTCTCTCTCTCGTGTTGTAAGAAATAACGAGAATAGTAGCGGCAATGTAAGACTTTGCTTTTCTAACTAGAAATACTTTCCAGCTAATATCATTGATGCAACGAAATATCTAACAGCTGGCAAGCAGTTTGCTATCTCAAGGAGTGCCTTACTATTGCACGTAATACACAGATCATTTTTTTCTCATATTTCTCTCATAAATAGACATCGTTAAAATAAAAAAGAGTTTATGCCAATTATTTTTATGCGCAGTTTTTTTCAGAGTATTCTTCTGTGTTTTTTTCTTTAAACTGAAATACGTATGTGTATTCTTAACTGATGTTATGTTTAGACTCACGAACTCTACATCATTTTAGAACGCAACAATATCGACCAGTGACTAATGACAATAACGTTAGCTTCTGTCACGTATGTCTTTAGCTTGTTTCATACATCAAGTATTTTTTTTTGTTGTTCTGTGCAAACGTAGAATAACCAAACAAAAGCTGCTGATTATCGTTGGTGTAATAGCTAGTTCAGTTCTCTTAGTTGCAGTGATCGTCTTATCTGTTCTCTTGGCTCAAGCTGAAAAATCAGTCTCGAATACAAGAGCAACCTTCGTCGGTATGTACACATGCATGTATCTTGCTAATTTTCGGAGTGAAATAAAATCGCCATCGTAATGTATGACGACGATACTTTCCTCGTTTTTTGTATTTTCCCTTCGACCAAATTATTATACGCTTGCAACAACAAAGGAAAGGAATGTCGGAGCAACAATAAATAGTATACAATGTTCTTCAATTAAAGAAAACAACAAAAATCATCTGCATCCGCCCCAAGAATGCATTCTCTGATGTCGTACTCAACTGAGCATATCTGATCACCAGCAATGTTTAGGGTTCCGAAAAAGCAAATTTCGAAGTTGCAGAAATAACACTGATATATTGTCAAAAACATCAGCCACTTTCCGAAATCACCGAATATGCCACATATTTCGAAAATTCGTTAATTCAATACTTGCTCCCTGTGAATCATTGTCTAGTCTCATAGTTCAGGTGCTCAGTGACGATCAAAGATTGTTTTCATTAAATACTATGGGAAAGCAGACCTGGTATTCGGATCTATCAATACGTGAAAGCTGCCTAATGATAACTTGTGACGGAAAAATAAAAACATCGATATATGTTATATCTAATAGGAACAACAACATGGACGACATCAATTGTATCAACGACGACTATCAGTACTACATGGATCACGACGAATCCTGCAGGTTAGTAGAAAGAGTCGACCTAGAGAAGATATCAGACCATGATACAATATCTCCTCTTAGTATGATTGATTCGACATTTTTTATGTAGCTGGTTGAATATCTCGAGTAATAGCATTTTCCCTTATTATCACGTCGTCGATGATTAGTAACCGTTCCACTGGGAATATCACACATGAGTATCTATATTGGTTTGAACAAACGTTGAATACAGAAGACCGAAGTAAGTTCACTTCAACCCCCCTCAAAATTGCAGTTGCTAAAGTTCAGAAAGCAATAAAATCATCCATCAGCCTCTAAGTAGATTTTCCTCAACTCAAACAATGTAGACAGTGAGAGTCTAGCATGTATTGGCATGATTAGGTAAGTCCTTCTGAAAAACTTGTTTCAACATCACTTAGATAAAAGTGTAGAGGATAGATTCATTCAATATACAAGTTCCACACGAAAGCGAAAATACTTATTATGCACTGAACCTTGTTACGATTCGATCGAAAATAAGTCTTTTTTGAGGAGAAAATCATCTTTTGACTCTTTAATCACATTCCTGAGATTATAAATTTATATGATATTGGTTAATTTCAAGAAAAGATTCGTACCATAAGTCTCGTTGCTCAACGAAGATTGAAACTGGAATAAGAACATCTTGAAACAACTCATCTGAATCTAGAATATGCAAGCTTCATTTCTACTGTATACTGTATTCAATGTAAATAATGCTCATGTGTATTTAGGCCGCATCTCTCACAATCTGACATTCAACCAGCAGTATTCCTATACAATACCGAATAACACCTATGGAGTTGCTCTAGGTGATTTCAATGGCGACAGTCGTATGGATCTTACTGTTTTCAGTTACTTTGAGAATTGTTTCTACATTTTTCTTGGCTACGGTAATGGAAGCTTCGGGTCACCAAAATCTTTCACAACTCGCTCAAATCCATATACAGGCATTATCAGGGACTTCAATGGAGATAGTCATGCAGATATAGCTGTGGTTCACCTAAGCAATGACAGTGTAGGCATTTCACTTGGCCTTGGTAACGGTACTTTCCTTCCACAAAGTTCTTTTGCAGTTGGCTACTATCCGACTTCGGTTAGTGCAGATGACTTTAATGGAGACCAACGTCTTGACTTATTAGTAGTCAATTATGGCGCTAGCACTGTCAGCGTTCTTCGCGGTTATGGCAATGGGAGTTTCGCGTCACGAAGCTATTTTCCTACAGGCTTGTATCCAGAATTAGCTGCTGTAGCTGATTTCGATCACGATAATCGCTTAGACTTCGCTGTCAGCAATTATGGAACTGGTAGTGTCGATGTGTATCTAGGCTTTGGCAACGGCACATTCCGCGCCCCTGTCTCCTATTCTGTCCAGTCTAAACCGTTCGGACTGGCTTTGGGCGATCTGAACAGTGACCATCAAATGGATGTGGTCGTATCGAACTGTGAAAACGGCACGATCAGTGTACTTCTCGGTAACGGCAATGGCACCTTTCGGGCAGCAGGTTACTACATGGTTGGAAGCTGTTCGACTAGCATCGTAATGGGTGATTTGAATGGTGATACTTACTTGGATGTCGTTGCTCCCGGATCCTTTGCTAATTATTTTACTGTATTGCTTGGTGATGGAACTGGGGCTTTCTTCGCATCATTGTCTGTTGTTACAGATAACTATCCAATGTCGGTGGCCGTCTATGATTTTGACAATAATGGAGGACTTGATGTCGTGGTTGCTCATGCCTGGGGTCATTTATTAGTATTTATGAACGCATTTTAAAGTGGTACAGGTGGGACTGCGAGTGCGGATACCACCTACACCGATACCTTTAATGTATTGTCGTTCACATTTCAAAAAAGGATTCAAAAAACTAAAAGGCATTTAAAAATCAACATAACAACAAAAAAACTAAAGTGAAATAGAATATCACAAAAGAACAAAATTTGCTTCTTTTTCATGCGCATCATAAAGTTATTCATAATTTGTTTCCTTATTTATTAATCATTTCGCGGGTGTGAGTATGAATAATAAAGAGAAGATCCACACCCACACCCACACTCATCTGAACACTAACTATCTTATAGGATCAACTATTATGATGTTGGATCCTGTTCATTAGTTTAAGTTGACTGTAATCGTAATTTATGCAATACTGATGAAATACTTGCACAAATCAAAACTATATTACTTGATTTTGATGGACGACGAATGATTGCTGAAAGACAACCAACAGTCTTTTTTCTATTCATAATATTTACTTTGAAGTTACTGAGAATTAATTCAATTTATTCTGAACAGCCTTATTGTTGAGTCAACTTTAACAGATACAAATCAGTCAAAAAACAAAGAGTTATTTTACTGAGGTAAATTTATGTTTTTATTAAGAGTTCCATTAGTTGAAACAAATTTTTTTCTGTGATCATACATATATATGTGTTAGCGTCTTTGATCAGCTTCACAATTTGGACTAGCCGAATGTCAGATTGGTGAAGAATCTTTCGTTAAAATCTTCATTAGTTTTTAGATAGATGTTGGATTCGAATCTTTTTTTTTGGAAACTGTTGAAACAATCGGATGTCAAGTAACACAATCATCAATGCAAAAGCTATAGTAGAATTTGTGAGATTATTGATGAGTTTCTAGAGAAGAACAGATCTTATTAAAAGTTATTCATAAATGTTCAAATCTGACCGTCATTTCTTCAGTAATGGTTGCAAAACCTGGAATACCATTTTTTGAACAAAGTCTCTCAAACAAAAAAGAATTCGAACCCAACATCTATCTAAAGGCTAATGGAAGTTTTAACGAAAAAGTCTTTACCGATCAGAGATTAGACTAAGTTCGAAATTCGACGCTGACATACATATAACTCAATCGATGAAATACACTTCTATTTGATGAAGAAGAGGTTTTTAGAAAAAGTTTCTGTGGATTTGAGAAACAAATGATAGTGGACTACACAGAAAACCGACTTTTTGTTTCTAATCAGTCAACAAATTCTTCAGCGAATATAAATAATAGTTTGAGTTTATAATAAGTGTGTTTCATGCATAGATTTAGAAGTAAACGAATTGAGTTGAGACTGCATTAATTTTACACTCTAGTGATGCAAATGTAAAACTATTCACTCAAGCACTATTGATCGAAATTGAGGCATAGGAGGTTATAATTAGCGTATTGTTGCTCAATACGAATTTGCAGATGTTTGTTATGAGTACGAGTTCTTCTTATCTATAAATAGACGCATATAATCAATTATCATCGAAGAAAAAGACTCGATGCAGTCCGTGCACCAAATGACTATTCGGTAAAATACCAAACACTTTACCAAGACTTGCGTACGATAGGTTAGAAGCGAAATACGAAGCTACAACTCCATCCTGAAATAAAAATTAATAATTTTAACTTTTAAATTGTTGAAACACCGTTTAATATTTCAGATGCTGCAAGAATTCATTGTAAATGTATTTCGTCATCATCATCAAATATCTACAAATGCTCTGGATGTTGTTCTCTTCTTCATTTCAATTTTTCACCCACATCCACACACTCATCTCCGCACCACTCATGCACAAGAATTCTTTCGTTGTTGACTCTTGATTATTACGCCAACGAGAGATGAACATGAGTATAACGTCTCCATATTTTCAGTATTAATTAGAATAGGTGGATGTGACTACCTAGCTTCTATCCATATCGGCAATCACATTCTGTCTAGTTTCAGCATTCAACTTCTTCGATCGATTTCTACTAAATATAAGGGTTTAATTGAACATATAAAATTTTAAAAAAAACATTTTTTTAAAATAAAACTAAATGGAATCGATCGAGTATTTGTAAAATGCTCATGTTTATTTGAAAAAATGTCTTATAAAATATATCATGGTATATAGATGAATAAAGCATGGAAAATAGAGTAGAGTGTGAGTGTGCATGACGAGAAGATCGATAAGTACATTTTTATTTGGAGATCACTTATTCAATCAGTTGATTAATATGTAAATAAATATTTTGAATCATGTCTGACGAAACGATTAAAGCTAATAAATTATGACTAGTGATAGTGATGGGTTCGCTTGATACGTTTGGGATTAACCGATATGTTCGATTTCTTATTCATGCTTTTGCCAAGCCATAAGTATATACAATCGTTCAGGCCATAGTCTTCATCGTCGGACTGTGAGCGCTCTACCTCACATACAACGTCTCTTTCCATTTGTGAGATCCATTCAACGATCTTGTCTGCAAAACCATTTCCGTTACGACATCGAAATGTGACATTTGATAAATGTTCTGCACGTTCCAATATCATTTTTGCGTCCTCCACATATGTGATATCAGTGTCGAGTCGTCTGATATGGTGTGGCAATTTCAAGCAGATAGTATTAATAGTTATCAGCTTCATTCTGTCTAAATCATTGCAGCTTATTCGAATTGAACGAAGATTACATGCTTGTTTGAACAGAGTATCCATTTCGACATCCAAACTGGTAGAAAACATACATTCGCACTGAAAATCTACGTGTAGTGTTTGAAGATTCGATAAATTAAGAATTGTTGAAAGATGTTCAATTGAGCCTATAGGCCATTTTCGAGCAATCATCAGTGTAAGTTCTGTCACATTTCGAAAACGATAATCTATTTTTTGATTAGTCTAAAAAGAAAAATTTGTAAGCTTTAACAATATTGAAAAAATAAAATATACGAAACTATTCGATGTCAAAAAAAAATCATCAGATTATGACAGATTGTTTTTCTATGAAATCAATGAGTCTTGTCAAAGAATTCCATATTGTAAAGAAACAAATCTACTGAAGAATAATTTGAATTGGATTTTGAACATTTCAAAGCTTTCGATTTCAATATGTTTCTTTATCTTAAACAATACATTCAAGTATCCTTTATCGAACACCTTACAAACGAAAATTCTTCAACAAATCATCTGCAAAACATGTACACATACATCTTGTTACTAAAATTTACAAAACAAGACATAGTCAAATAAATCAAACGATTTTAGGATACTTTCGTACATTGATCACTTTCTCTTATTAGAACAGAACAAAAAGAAACTAAATTGAATACTGCACCAAAACACTCTTTATTGCATGTCTAAATAGATTTTCATGCGGCTGGAAGACTTGAAAGTTCTTATTCGTACAAAAAAAAAGTTTGCAGCTATTTTTCAAAGCTGTTACCAATTCTTTTTATACAGAAACATAGCTTTTTGTTCTGATTAAACATATTTTCGAGTCTATATTTTGCCCATGAGTAGGAGACCACTCAATTGTAACAACCTTCCAAGGATTCATGATCTTGTTTTGTTTTGGTCCACAATGTTGAATTATTAGTGAATTCTTTTATTGAAAATCAAAGTTTACAATAAAATCTTATTTTCTGATTGGTTGTTTTTATTCAAAACATTGTCACCTAAAGATATGAATTAGACTAACTTGTATATCAAATTACAGAATTCTTCGATCAACTATTTCTGAAATATGTATTAAGCCAAGCCTTCATTAATTAAACGATATCGATGCACAAGTGAGTCCTATTGAGATCGTTATGTGATGAATGTTTCAGATAAGAAAAATTTAAAAATACAATTTTATTGAAAAGTTAAAGTATTCTTAGAAGATTAACCAAAAATTTTATATATTGGTAAGAATGGAAGAAGACGATGTGAACCCTTTGACATCCATCAAAACACTTTTTAGAGTTCGAAATAATAAATTTTCTGTATGAAAGTAGATAGTAGCAACTCTGAATATTCTTTACAAATTGTTATGAATAAATAATTCAGTAGTAAGAGAAAAATAATCAGTTTATTCGATGAAAATTTGAGAAAAATATTGAAGTTTACCCTCATGAGGTATTTTTGAGACATATTTTATATTTTAGAAGCATGGACGACAAGATTAGTCATGTTTTTCAGCTATTCTGACAAGTTCATAATTTTATTGAAAATTTTCCGAAAAACTTCAGCAATAATGAAGGCTGCTTTAAAAATAATTATTATATTATAGTATGAATGAGCAACAAAAAAAAGTGTAGCAATCAATAGTAGTCTGAAAAAAATCTTTAACAAAACTCATTATTAGACTTAAATCATTATCGATCAACTTTCTTTTAGAAGAATGATTTATTCGAGAAGAAATAATCGGTTTGAAAATATAAAATAATACTTACATTTTGACGAATGCTTTTAAACCTCATTCGAATCAAGTCTACAAATAACCGATGTGTATTGACAATAATTGTTAAATTGTTATCAATGTTGTTCAATGTAGAATACGGAATGTCACGTCGTAGAACAGGATAATCGAAATCATCTTGGAAGATTGGTATCGAATAGAGATGAAATTGCTTATAATGTTTGTATTCAAGATCACATTTAACAAACCAATGTTTGACTTCGAGCCAGAATGGTGTTCGAAATGATGCAATCAGTAATTCTACACTAGAAGAATCTGAATTATCGAGTGCACGATGAGTAAACGAGAATTCGAACTTGTTCAATAGAGACAATTTCGTTTGAATAAAGTTAGCCCATTGAAAACCATCAAATAATAAAAGATCAGTTAACGATGATTCAATAATCAGTCGAAGATGCGTTAGCATAGGTAAAAGTGAAAGGAATGATTTAACAAAGTCCATTGTTATAGTAGAATGGCTGTTTAATGAGAGTGAAGTTAAATGACTTGATTGTATGATATCAGAACGTATAACAGTAGGCTCCTCGACGACTAACAATCTTATTGCCAATGTTCGTATATAAG